CCTCTCGGCATGGATTCTTGCCCGGCTTCAGGTTTCCCGTAACATTCGATCCGCCGACCTGTCTTGGCATACGCCATACGCGTGCATTCAAAAAAGAAAAACAAAACAAGAGTCCAACACATACCATTTACCATTCACTAGTATTCACTTCACTCACCTTGATCCACTCCAGGCGCTCGGTGGTGCCGTCGTTTTCGTCAAAGTCGGTCTGGTTGATCCTGCCGAGCTGACATCGCTCTGCTCCCCTGCACCTCACGCGATTTTCCCGCAACTCACTGGCAACCCCAAGGGCCAGGTGCCTTACGGTCAACGTGCACTTTCGGGACGTCATGTTGAAGATGTCCAGCATCAGGATTGTGGTCGCTGTGCAGCCCGGCTCCTGCGCACGCACACAAAGATGGGCCCAGGAAAAGCCCAGGGAAAGCAAGGGCACAGCCTGCCTCACACCAGAAGTGCTTCGAGTCTTGCACAGGGAAGTCGTGCACCGTTGTGGTGGTGACCGTACCCTGCACAGAACAGATGCACAGAACAGGACTCATATGGGCTCATGACTCCACCCTAAACCCTAAACCCTAAACCCTAAACCCTAAACCTATCATGTACCACAGTATACGGTAGCAGCTTGGCAGTGGGCTGTGGTCGTCGTGGTGGTCGGGGGCAGCGTCACGATGGGCCGTGCGAAGCAAGTGACGGAGACGACGCCACTGCCAGGGGGGGCAGGAAAATGGGGGTTTCCAAAAACAGGGAGGGGTACCCTTTTTGGGGCTCTTTGAAAAGGATTCTAGTATATTGGGGTATATTTTGGGGTACCCCTATTCTGGGGTTGGTTCGGCACCTAACGCCATGCCTCAGATGGTTGCCATTCACGGGGCACTCGTCTACTGACGGCGAGATCTTGCCTCAACAGGCACACTGCCCGAAAGCTCAGTGCTCGTCCAGGCTCGAGTTCAAAAGGCCATGACCAGAGATTCGGAGCTCGCCATTCTGATCAATCAGCCCCTGGCAGGATTCTAGCAGTGAAGTTCTCAGGTCGCTAGGCCACAAAATTTCAGCGTGGGCACCTCGAGCGGCAGATCACGGATGCACCTGACTCATTGAACAAGGCTCAGCGCGGAAGGTGTACACTGGCATCCAATCTGGAAGGGCCACTTCATCCGAGGCACGGGTAAAGAGGCACATCGAGTAGGCTTGCATTGGTCCTGCCTAGTCAAGATGTAGGTGGAGTGTCTTGGATGCCTCACGCTGACTTAAGCTCCACGCCACCGCTGACAGGCGCCGAAGCTTTCGTGCCAGCTTGCTTGGACGCATGGTCCTTCTTGGAATCCTGCAAGCTCGAGGTCCGAGCCACAATTTGGCACCAATCACGAATTCCGTCGCCATCTGAGCTGCGTACAGACTTGGCCTCAGGTGCTGTCTCTTTCTTGCCAGCTTGCTTGGATGTCGAATCCTGCAAGCTCGGCGCTGTCACACCCGCAATTTGGAACTAACTCCACCGCCATCTGAGCTGCATACAGACTTGGCATCAGGGGCCGTCTCTTTCGTGCCAGCTTGTTTGGATGCATGGCTCTTTTTCGAATCCTGCAATCTTGGCGATGCCCACGCCGCAACTCGGCACTAGTTCCATCGCCGTCTGAGCTGCGGACAGGCTCGGCATGTGTAGCCAACAAGGAGACATTGGACAACTGCTGCTCGGTGACAGTCGTTCCATGCAATGCTGCCGGGTTGTCGTCTGTCTCGCAGCCTGCGTGGTTTAGAAACAAGGCCAAGGGAGTTTAAGGAGGGATTCAAGCTGCAGCTCATGGCTGAAATCACAGCGGAGTCACCCTTGGGCTTGGGTGCTTGTGGCGAGAAGTCGCGAAGAGCCTGCAGCGCTCTCGCAACGACCCCCAAGCGCATCCACGGCGCGCAAGCGCGCAGTTTGGGGTTCTGCACTTTTGCGCCTCCTTGTCGTTGATCAGGATCCACTCAATCTTCTCCCGGCCGTACCTCTCTGTGCTTTGGCTGTTTCGGATCAGTTGCTAGGAATCGAGCTGCTACGCTGCGATTTGCTGCTAGACATAAACCCCCTAAACCCCCTAAACCCCCTAAACCCCCCAAACCCCCTAAACCCCCCAAACCCCCTAAACCCCCTAAACCTCCGATCTTGCTGCGCCAGGCGACGTGTCGTCGAAGTCCGTGGCATGCACGGAGACCGACAACAGGCACCTTTGGGAGCAGTGAGAACACAGCAGAAATTGAGAACACAGAGCACTTATGAGTATTTCCCAAAATAGGGGGTACCCTTGTCTACCCCGAAAAGAATAGAATTCCCTTAAAGGGAACCCCGCCCAAATTAGTGCACTTATCAAAGAGGGGAAGAAAAGGAATCATAATTCGACAGCAACCGCCGATTGAGCTCGTTGCATTTTGTACTCCATCTCGGAGGCATTCTCGAATACCTGCCACAGAAGAAGCAAGTCATCAAATCATCAAATCATGACATGGGCATTTCCCAAAACAGGATCTCATGATCTACCCCCAAAATGCTGCAGCCCTTACTACAGGAACCCAAGACGGGGTACCCACGTGGAACCCAGATATAAGCAAACCGTGGCCCCTTGCTTTGCACTCCCCGCCTTCAGGGACGCGTCGGCGACGCAGCCCGGGGGGCCGCAACTCCACTCGGCAGTCCTCGGAGACCGGGGGTACAGTAGTTGGCCTCTTTTTTTGGGGGGGGTGGGGGTACGGTATACTTGGAGGCTTACGGAACTTATGACTTATGATTCATATGATTACATAATCTTACATATAATTTATGATGGGCTCATGAGGCAGGAGGCATCATGGGTTCTATCTGGGGTTGTGAAGAAGCACAGGCACGAGGCCCAAGTAATTACCCCGGCCTGCTGACCTTGCTCCACTCGACGTAGAACTTGGGGGAATCGGGGGTCGGCGCCCTGACAAATCTTCCTCTATCTTCCTCTTCTTACCGCATGCGTAGGGGCGTTGTAGGTTCTCAAACAAACACTTGTCAGGAAGAGAGCCGGCCTGGGGCGGCCGAACAAGTCGTACTGGTCCGTGCCGGTGTCGAACCAGGCAGCCTCCTCAGAAGCTGAGAGAATGGTTTGCCCAAGCAAAGGACCAGCTGCCCTCGGCTCCTTCCCGTCTTCACGGTCCTCAGAATGTGGTGCTGAAAGGGAGGGAGGGAGACATAAAGCCTTTGAACAGCAAGGCTTGCTGTAAGCTCGGATGCTGGCTGCATTACCCCGCCTCAAGTGGCGACACGCACATGAGCTGAAAGCCGACACCCCCGCACCACCCGCTGAGCAGCTGAGCATGCCACTCCCTGGACTCGACAGGAGCCCAGCCCTGCTCAATCCTCGTGATCTCGCGCTGCTGACATGCGCTGAGCATGCTGAGGGTCCTACTTGCTCTCTGTTGCAGTTCGGGGACATGTGCCAGATGTGGCAAAAATGTCACGCATGCGCCGTTTCCAGCCGGCGCCGGCTCGCGAAAACTGTGCTGAACTCAGATGAGGTCTTCTATGTCTCTGACATGGCCCACTGCATCGTGTAGCTGACAGTCGTGCTTGGTTGGGCAGGTATTGCACGAGTGCCCGCACGGCATCTCCGGCTGGCTTTCCAGCTTCGTCTTTATGGAAGGGGCCAGCTTCTGCCAAGCCTCCTCCAGCAATCCGGCGGTCTTTGGAGCATCCTCAAACCCTTTCTTCGTCAAAGCCTTGGCCTTCTCCTCCCAATCTCCAGGTCCCGACACCGAAATCATCTCAACAAGGGCCACCTCCCAGTCCGCAAGCCCGTCAGAGAAGGTGCCGTGGCAGGGTTCGCTGTCGGGATCCTTCATGGCGACCCCGGAGTCTTCAAGCCGTCGACGGAGCTCGCCAGTCTCGAGTCCCATCCAGTGCTCAACGGCGGCTCCCTTCAGGTAGAGCTGCGGAAGCTCGATTCCCACATCTGCCAGCGTCTGCAGGCCTCCAGGTAAGTCGGGTCCTGTCTCACTCAAGTCAACCACCTTCATTGACTTGGCTCCAGAAGCTCTCAGCTTTTCAACGCCATGAGCACTCGCTGCATCCAGTGGCTCGTGTATGGTTCCCCGCATAAACAGCACAGGTCGTTCATCGTTTGCATAGGCACCTGCGAACGCGAGCCATGTTGCCTTCGCCGCATCATCTAGAGTAGCCGCTTCCGTACTTTCCGTATTTTGGAGCAAGCTGTCTACAAACTGAGCAGCCGCCGCATTCCCGTCCTCCTCAGCAAGACTTCGTGCCTTCAGGAGCTCCTGCCGTGCTCGGGGCAGGTGCTTCAACTGCAGGAGGGCGAAGCCGTAGCCAAGACTCACCGTCGCCTTCTTGGAAACGTCCGAGCCTGCCAACGTCAAAGCTGCTTCGTAGTGTGGCAGCGCAGCTTCCGTGCCACCGGGTCCGGCTCGTGTCCACAGGGCCTCTGCCATTAGCAAATGTCCATCCAGCCCTAAACCGGAGCTTTTGGAAACACGTTCCAAGCACTCCACTGCAGCCTGTGCATCACCCTCACTCAAAAGGTTCTGCGCGCTGGCCAGCTCATCCATCAAAGGCCACAACAAAGAGGTCGCAAAATGTCCCCCAGAAACGAAACCCCTCGAAAGCCTCGGAGATACTTCACACGAACCCGTCAACGACCCTCAACACCCGTCGAGGCTGGTCGACACTCATCGACACTCGTCATGCCCGATCACTCATATGCCTTTCTTACGCACATGCCCTCCATGCAACCTTCATGTACAAGCTTGTGATGGCTGGCAAAGCTTGAGCCTGAGATGTTGCTGGTGTGTGTCTACACACGTGATTGACATGTGATGGGGACTGCTTGACACAGATGCCGGGACTGCCTGCCGAATTCTTTGATCTGCCAGTCAGGAGCCTTCGCCCGCCAGCTCGCATCCTTCACGCAAACCCAAATGCAAGTCAGATCATCAGACGTCTTCTAAAGGCATCCAAAAGCATTTGAAAGCCCTTGCTTGGCTTGGCCTCCGTTTCTGAGTCATAGGTCTGCCAAGCCTGACGGGACAATAGCAGGCACCAAACACGAACTGAAGAGACTGAGGAGCTCAAATCACTCTGGGACATCATTGGGGGCTGTCCTTTATGTGGGCCTTGTACACCTGTGTACCTGTGTGTCTCCCCGCCTCCTTCGGTCCGCCTGAGGCACTTTCATGGAACCTGGCCAGGGGTTTGGGGTTTGGGGTTTAGGGTTTAGGGTTTAGGGTTTAGGGTTTAGGGCTTTAGGGTTTAGAGTGGCAGGATGCAAGGGGGATGCTCGCAGGCAGGCGCACCATTCAGGAGGCTCGATCGTAGGAATGCTCTCGATTTCTTCCGAAGCGGCGCGCGGGTTTGCAGCCTGCAAGAGCCGGCGAACGTCAGCTTGCACAAGTCCGGGACGCATGAACTCCATGCACGGAGGCTCCCTAAACCCTAAACCCTAAACCCTAAACACTAAACCCTAAACCCGCAACCCTAAACCCTTAAACCCCCCTGGTCCTCTTGGGTGCGGAAGCGTCCGTCTTCATCGAAGGTGGACTCGGCCTGGCAAGCCATGGATGCCACGCGCTTTAGACGTCTTCTTTGTGGCAGCCCGAGAACCCCAAGGGCACGCTTTAGGGTTGAGGGTTTAGGGTTTAGGGTTTAGGATTTAGGGTTTAGCGTTTACGGTTTAGGGTTTAGGATTTTGGGTTTCAAGTTTAAGGTTTACTTTAGGGTTTGGGGTTTGGGATTTGTTTGGCAGCGCCTCTGCTTCATGGTGCGGCTGCGGTCCATGTTTGTCACCCTTTACTTTCGGGTTGAAGGTACAGCGCAGCAAAGCTTTGCTGGCAAAACTTCACCCTGATCGTATGAGCAGATGGCAGTTTCGCAAGTACGCTCGAGCGCAAGCCATAGGTAGAGTACCGTCTGCTGCTGCCGTTGGGTACCTCATGATTGGTGACCAGCCCGTGCAACAATATTTAAGGTTTCATGTCGGGTTTAGGGTTTAGGGTTTGGGGTTTAGGGTTTCACGCCCGGGATCCCAACACAAAAGCACTCGATTTGGAACCATCCCATATAGAAATATTTCAGAGGCACTTCTCTCACCAGGAATGCTTTGGGCAGCACTGATGTATGTGAACCCTTCACCGTTACTTAGGGGCTGTATACCCTAGCCCAAAAAGGTAAACCTTTTACATCTGTTAGGATTCTACATAACCAAAAAGGTTAAAGGTTACCGAATCCCTAAGGTTATCAGGCCCAGCATACACCGATCAAGGCATGCCAGGAGCGCGTCACTGAAGCTGCTGAAGAAGTCCGGGTCCAGTTTGCGCCCGGACTCCTGCCTCGGCGTTCATGCAGGTGACACACATCTGGTCCCAGCTCAAGTAATCTGGTAGCTGAGAAAGGTGCCGGGAAGCTGCATCTGATGTGGCTTGAACCAAGGACAGCTTCTCCTTCACTTAGGGGCCTTAAGTCTGGTAAAAACGAGGTTTGGGCTAGCAGCTTTGATGCAAAGAGAGGGCGTTCATCGAAATTCATCGAAATTGCAATGGCATGTGGCGCAGTCCTTCACCTCGTGTGCTCCGCCTGACAACGATGTCAAAAAAGGCAAATGAAGTACAACACCCATCGTTTGTCCGGCATTCCTCGCCTGGCTTGGCTGCATCCATGCGAACGTCCACATGCCGCTGCGTCCTAAGTTTGGTCGCGCTTCAACATCTGTCCATGTTCAACATCATGACCCAAGGTGCTGACTGCTGGCTGCGCTGCAGCAAACAGTGCGGCAAAGCCTGCCAGGCGGCTGAAGTACGCTTCAGCGTGGGCTGAAGTACGCTTCAGCGTGGTTAAAAAAACAAAACTCCGCTGCATGTCGCCTCCGGTCTGCGGAAACCTGCCTGAACGCACAACAAGTATCTGACAGTTCTGGACTCGCAGGTTTGGCAGCCGCCTCTGCAGTCGAGACCTGTAAGAACCACAAGAACGTTACCAGGTGGAGTTTCCTGGACCGTCTGACCTCAGCAAGTTTCGAACACGAAAATCGTTTATGCAAACGAAGACTTCTGAGAGAGCTGATGGAGCAAAAGCTATGAATTAATAAATGGAAGGTTTCTTGCATGCTGTCATGGCGTCATGGCATCCAGGACTTGAGCACATCGGTCGCAACACGGCACGGGAACGATGCCAAGTGCCTAACCATCAAAGGTCGCATCCGTGTGCTTTCGTGTGTCCTCGGATGCGAAACAAATCTTTCCACACAAAACTGCATCCTGGCCGCATGTTGCCACAACATGCAACAAGGACACATTGCTAATATGACACCAGGGCTCCGACAAGCGTATGTAGTAGTACTAGCGATGAAGCGTTCTGGCGAGGCAATTGCGTTTTCAGAAAACGATAGACACCCTGCCAAAAAAAACAGCTGAACAAGTTATACGTCGGGCCTCGGAACTGTTGCGGGAGCAGTCATGAGCGCATCCCACCCGAATTCCGTAAGGTTGTGGCTGACGGGCGCTTCAACACATTTTCTCAATGCTAGCTCCCTGGTCGCACAAACACGCACGTTGCAAACTAACCCAAGTAGACCGAACCGCAAGCGACTCACACGCATAGCTGAAAGCACTCGAAAACATTTGCAAAATCGCATCTGAAAGCAATCGATCTGATGCCAGCGCGCGTCCCATCTTAGGACGCAAGCATCTGAATTCTACGCTCAGGTGGAGCCTCTTTGGGCATCCCTCCGGTTGCTGCAGACAGTCTGAACTGCTTTTGTGTACACACGGCTTCGAAGCTGCACCATGCTTTTTTAGGGTTTAGGGTGTAGGGTTTCGGGTTTAGGGTTTAGGGTTTAGGGTTTAGGGTTTAGGGTTTAGGGTTTAGGGTTTAGGGTTTAGGGTTTAGGGTTTAGGGTTTAGGGTTTAGGGTTTAGGGTTTAGGGTTTAGGGCTGGCACTGCGCTGCACCTGCTCCGGAGAAGAAGATTTGCAAGGCTTGGACAGTACGCTTGCAAGCACATGTCATCACTGCATCAGAACTGCACTCATGGACACCTGCAGTTCAGGGGCTGACAAAGCAAAATTCGACATCTTCTACTTTGCTCTTGCCGAAAATTTAAGCCTCATGTTCCGTGCTTGCTGTGAACTTCAGACAATCGGCTGTGCAGAATCTCTTTTCCAGCTGGCCTCAACTGCCGGCCACTGCAGGTTGGCCCTGGCCCCAACAGCCCTTGCCATACATGCCGTAGCCGTGGCCCCAGCCTCCCTTGTCACATCCGCCATAGTATTTGCCCCAACTGCCCTTGCCACACACGCCGTAGCCACGGCCCCAGCCTCCCTTGTCCTGTCCTCCAGAGTATTGGCCCCGCCTGCCCTTGCCGTAGCCGCTGCCCCACCCTGCCCTGTCACATCCTCCATAGCATTGGCCCCAACTGCCCTTGCCATGCACGCCGTACCAGTTTCGCTTGCCAGAGCCTCCATAGTACTGGCTGCCATACACGCCGTAGCCGCAGCCCCTGCCTCCCTGCCCAAACCCTCCAGAGTATTGGCCCCAACTGCCCTTGCCATGCACGCCGTACCAGTTTCGCTTGCCAGAGCCTCCATAGTACTGGCCCCAACTTTTGCCATACACGCCGTAGCTGCAGCCCCAGCCTCCCTGCCCAAACCCTCCATAGTAGTGGCCCACACTGCCCTTGCCACGCGCTCCGTAGCCTTGGGCGCAGCCTCCCTGGCCTGAAGCTCTTTTGCCAAAGGCTCCATGGCATTGGGCCCAAACACCTTTGCCCCAGGAGCCTTTGCCTTGACCAGCCATGTCAGGCTTTGCCGCTACAACAGGCCACTCAGTTGGCAGCGGGAGCTTCAGCAGCAAGCTCTGCTTTCGGGGTGTCGGCAAGCTCTGGTTTGGCAGCTGGCGCTTCAGCCGCCAGATCTGCCTTCGGGGTGTCGGCAGCGAGCTCGTCAGGCTTTGCCTCGGCAGCTGGCTGCTCTGCTTTTGGGTCCTCTGCATCAGGCGTGGCCTCGGCAGCTGGCTCAGAATACCCAACAACGGCACTGCAGAGCTACCAACGAACAACCAACGACTGGAAATCCTTCCACCGCTCTTCCACACATTCATTGCCAGCGGCACTGGAGCTGCCACTGCCCTCTGGCTTGGCCTCCTCCTCCACTGCAACAGGCTTAAGATCTGCAGGCCTCAAGTCCCCAACCCCGAATTCAGGCCTTTGACATCGCGGCTGAGTCGTATAAATTGCAAAGGTATGGGGCTCTTGGTTCCGTATGCTTGACTTGCAGGGTTCTAGACATTCGCTCTTGCACTACTTGTTTGCACTGCCATGAGAGACTATGGAGGGAAGCCTTCTGACTGCAGACACTCTGGTCCCCCACCCCCTACTGCAAGCCTACTGCAAGGTAAGCAACGAATGCAGGCTTCGCCATGCCTTTTCACGTGGAGCTCGGCCCCACAGGTCTGAAGCCGCATGAGCCCCAAACCCTTCTTGCAAAGCTTGTGGTTCCACTTGGGTGCCTTGCTCAAATAGATACCGTCCCAGCGATCCACCATCATCCCCGATGTAGATATGAGACCCACGCCGAAACCCACCCCAGCATTGAACTGTTGCCGAGCTGCCTTCCAAAGGTTTTGACCCTAAAATAAGGCTTCACAGGATTGAACCACTATTAATCGCCCCCAGGAAATGAGTTGCGTGCAATTTGCATGAGCCATATAGGGTTGTAGTTACGTAACGAGTCCAGCTAAGGACTTAAGGCTGATAGGGTTTAGGGGTTGCGGTTGTGTAAATGCGACGGACCAGGGCGCCACGCAGAGGTGCGAAGGACATGGAAAATGTGTGTGAATCTAGGTGCACGACTTGACCTGGAGGTTTTCCGGTTTAGTTTAGGGGCCTCTTGGTGGGTTGAGGGCTTGAGGGCATTGAAATGGCGAGTTCGGGATCTCAGTCCTCCTCGTCGCTCGAATCCTGCTACAGGGAAGAGCGCGTGTGAGGGTGATGGCCAGGGGCCCGACCAGGGGGAAAGGGCTCAGGGGTTGGGGTTGGGTTGGGTGTATCATTTCCTGGAGCTTGATGAGGAACGGGCAGATCTTGAACGCTCAACCATACAAAGCCTTTCTGTATGGAGATCTTCTTTGGTCTCTAGACCGGCTTTCCAGTTCGGGATCAGCGTCAGAAACCCAAAAAACTCCCTGACGTCTATTCCGCCCGTCTTCCTCCTCAGCCCCAACTTGACAGCGACTAAGATTGGAGCTTCGCTCCTGAGGACTTGACTTCGAACCGCGGCCCGTCAATTTTTCAGAACCCAGTTGAACCGAAATTTTGAACCTAAACTTAGACTCGAAACTTGGATAGCCTACCCGGGGTACCCGGTGGCAGACGTACGAAGAGTTGACTTCCAAGTACGGAGTCAGGGGTCTCCTACTGGTCCAAATAGCATTAGAAGCAATTACTTGGCCCGTCTGGGTTGAACATCCCAATCTTTTTCACATCACGGATGCAAACTCTTGCTTCGCGGCCCTTCAGTGGCGCGGCTGGGACGCAGCAAGGTTGGATAATGTGCCCAAGGACGAGCTTTGGAAGTCTGGGGAAGCAGGCCAGACTATGCGCACTGCTTGATGCAACTTCACGGTATACCAGGCCTGCGCCCGAATCTGCGCAAGCTGACCCCCGAAACCACATCTCTCGAGGCGCAATTCTGGGTGCGAAGACTAGTCACTTTTCCGCTAAGCCGTAGGCTTGGTCCAAGGGGCCCCTGCGGTCAAGGGGTTGCATCAAAAGCTGTACAAAACGCTAGGTACACACACTGTACGCGCTGCAAAACAGGTTAGTTTCACACCCGTGACTCTTACAGCGTCAGTGTGGTGAGACTTCGTGCTGTAGGATCAGCGACCTTGCTCGCTGTCCTTTTCCTTCTTCGTCGACCGCCTCTGAATCTGCTTGGCTCGCTTCTTTACGACACTCTCGAGCGGCTGCTCTACGTCGAGTGTGTTAGTCTTCAGGGCCTCAACCAACTTGGTAGGCTCCATGACTTTAGTCAATGGATCAGCGATCATCACGTCAGTGTCAACCATCTGACGATGTCAGTTAACTGATCATCTGCTGGCTTGTAGTCGTCGTAAAACGGATCAGCTGCTTTTTCGCCAGCTTTGCGCCAAAGCTCCTGTCTGAGAGACGCGATCTCGATGCTCAACCTCTTGTCCGAGTGCTTGTTGCACTTCGGGTTCGAAAGCGTCAGTTCTAGACTTTTACAGTCTGTCATCCAGATCTGCTTCACAAACTTGGCCGACGTAGCCTCCCATCTTTTCATATCGAGGCATCCGAAGATGTCAGTGACAGCTGCTCTTAGCACGTCACCATCCTCCACACCTGCTTGAAGTGTGTAGGCTTCTGCCTGAATGGTGGAACGACACACCCTTCGAACGAGGTTGCTCGCCCACAAGATGGGATGAATGCTACCCTTGTCCCCATTCCACAGGGCGCCGTCAGTAAGAAACACCATCCTAGCTCCTTGGCTCCGATGTCCTTCCACAGATGTCATTTCATTTATGATCATCTCCTCTGACTCATTTGCGTGCGAAGCGTCTGTGATCACCAGACTCATCAGAGCACCTGGCGTCTTCCAGTCTAACAGACCAGACTTGAAAACAAGTCCCCTGTCGTACGTGCTAATAGCATACTCGACCGCTTTGTTGGCATCCTTGATGTCCGCGACGGTACCGTTGCTAGAAGCTGACTGGATCTTGGATACCCTATAGCTCAGGTCCGGTCTGCATTGCCTGCAAACCCAAGCCAGGGAACCAGCGACGCTCTTCATCTGCGTCTTGTCAGAGTCCGTTAAAGGATCTCCCGAGTGCCTCCTCTTGTCCACGTGAATCTTGCTCACGTTCCTTGTAGTCTCGCTGCAGGTCACATGAATATTAAAGTCCTCGTCTTGAGCTATCTCCTTCCCGCAGTACCTGAAGCTCCCGGTTTCAACCTTTCCACACTTGAACGTCTCAATGAGATCGTTCATGATCCAATCACATGACGGATCACAAGCCCATAATAGATCGTCCACATGGGACGTCAAGAGCAACTGTACAACTCCATCGGCATCTGTGTAACTGTACAGAGCGCGGTAGATGTGGTTCTCACGTAGTCCCTTACCCTTAAGGTAGTTCCTTAGCCTTTTCCAAAACTTTCTACCGCCGTCGGTGCTGCCGTAGATGGGTGCTCTCGCCAGCATATGCTGGTGGGGCTTGAGCCCAGGGAGTCCTCCCGTAGGCTGAGATAGTAGAAGTACTCTATCTATCTCTTCGCCTTGAAAGTAGGCGTTTGTCACGTCAAGGGATTTAATCTTGACCTTCCTAGAAGCCGCAAAAGAAAACACTAAGTTCTGAGCTTCTATGCTAGCAGTAGGGCTATCACTCCTAGGATCTCCCTTCTCAAGATCACCCCGAACTACCAATCTACTCTTGTAGTTGGGTTCTACCGTAGGATCAAGTAACCTCTTGTTGTGGTTCTTGTCCAATTCTACCCACTGGGTAGGTATGACTTGATGTCCTTCACGGATCAACTCGTCATACTGAGCGTCATCTAAAATGATCGCCGCACTGAAGTCCTGCCACTTTGCCCATTCCTTCGCTCTGCTCTTGTCCAGCTCCTTTTGAACGTCCTCAGGGCACTTGTGGTACATTAGGATCTTCCCGTGCTTCTCCTTCTGCTTCTTGGACGTAAAGTTCTTGCGGCGCTTGCGCCACTGCAAAACCTGTTTGTCGGCTTCAACACGGTCCGAAAAGAAAACCCGTAAGGCCTCATACTCCTTCTCCCCGGGGAGTGAGTTCCAAACGGTCTTCTCTTCCTTCGTCCAGAAGTGGCTCGCGTAAGCTCTCAGGAGAAGTGCTGAGCTCTCCGTGGCTTCTGCTTCGACATCGGCATCAACTGCCGTGTCCTCAGCCATCGCCTCTTGGATTCCTCCTGTAGGATCCACCTGCTCATTTTCTGGCTCCTCCATGGTCACGGCCCGTGACTCTTCACGTGTCGCTCCAACTCTCCTTCTAACGACTCGTTCTGGCGCAACCGTCTCGGTTTCTGGGGGATCTGCCTCTGCATCCATTCGGATCGGAGAACTTATTCCTACTCCTCCGTCCGGTGGCTCTTCTGGGTCGTCTCGTACTAGATCGTCCCCGGTGGCATCAATGTACTTTTGCTGCTCACGCTCAACTTCCGTGTGCTCGTACTGTATGTTGCCCCGGTTAAGTACCTGAAACGCCAGGACCTCAGCCGAAGTACACGGTCTGAGTCGAGCCAAACTTGTAGCTACAGGAACTCCTTGGTGAACGACCCAAACAGTCTTGTTGTCAAATCCGATGATCTTGCTCACCGTGCTCCAGGTGGAGACACCTGAGTGTTCATTCCTCGAGATCCTGTAACATACCAGGTCTCCCGCCTGGTACCTTCCTGGAAGAGGCGCCGACTTCCTCAGGATAGTCTTCCTGACTCGGCGGCTGCAGTCTTCGTGCACGAAGGCCTTCCTGGCTGTGTGCCTGAACTCGGCCTGTCGACCGAACGCTGTAGTGGCATCTAGCCTTCCAGAAAGAACCCCAAGCTGACCTAGCTCTTCCTCGTCCAAAACGTGTCCTACTCCTCTGGGTAGGCGTCCAAGCACCCACTGAGTGGGGCTAAAACCTCCGACACGCATGAATTCGTTCTTTGCTACCTGTGCTTCAAGCATCGCCACTTTGACATCATCTTTGCCTGCAACGCTGTGATCCTTGACCAAACGTTTAAAGGCTCGTTTTATGATGCCTCCATGTCTTTCGCACTTCCCAATGTGCTCTGGTGATTCCAGTCCGGCTTGGCGGATCTGGACTCCATGGCTGCTCAGCCCGTGCGCGAACGCACCTCTGTTGTGTAGCCCCCTGTCGTGGGAGACTATCTTGGGCCACCCAAAAGGGGAAACCCAGTGCTGCATAAACTTCTGCAAACACTTTGCTGAGCTCGGCTGTCCGCCTCCAACGCGGACCAAGGTCACAACTTGATAGCTTGTGCCGACATCTATAATGTTCAGCCAGCTAAACTTTGCTCCTGTTGCATCCGCAGTCTCCACCACGTCAACTGAAACTGT